AGTGCTGTTTGTTGGTTTATGGAACTATTTGGATTGAAAGAATTTGATGAATATCTGAAGACCGTTCTTTGCAGGACAACTCATCTGGAAGAGGATGACATTTCTAGCTTCCCTTTGAGTCCAAAACTCATGGAAAATACTCTGACATCTCCCTCACTGACCCTCATAGGAGCTGGGATGCATAGTCACATGATTTGTTCTCTATTTGGTGCTTTCTTTTTGCATTTTTTGATTTTCTTTTATTTCAGCTGGATATCTTATCTGCGGTCCTTTTTGTAATGTTTCCTCCCTTATCTTAATATGATTTCTTTTTCTATAAAGAAAAAAGGTAATAAATCTCTGCCTAAAACTTGGACTCAAGCGTGATTATATTCTACATTTAAGCAGTCAAGGAAGTCATAAGCTCATTCCTCCTCAACTAATTTTTGAAATTTGGAGGCATCTTCTTTACAGGTTTCGTAAAAATTCTGATTGTAGTCTAGTGCCCATCACAACCACATAGTTAAATAAAATAATGAACAATAGTCATCTCACTTTGCTTGGTTGCATTGTTTTGCAGCTCGATATCTGTACATCATTGCCAACTTGGGAGTATATGTTTGGGATGCATTGCTCCAGATCTTGTGAAAAGCGTCAATTAGCCAGTACCCATGAGAAATTTGTGGTTGCATTGAATTGATAAGCTACGACATAACGAGTGAGTTTCCCACTGGTTGAGCATACGATCTATATCAGTTAGCTTGAGTTTATCCCATAATGTACCCTTACAAACCACGGGCTTGGATAGATAGTAAGCAAGAACAAAGTAAAGTAAATGCTTGCCTCAAGCTTTACTGGGCTGATCTGTGATGAGAAGTTGACTCCCAAAGTACCAAAAATATTATTACCCATTTTTGTAGTTGTCTTAGCAACCTCGTCCTTTGCCATTTTCTTTGCTGTTTATAAGCCAATTTTTTTTGCTTCTAGAGTGTCAATATCACTTTGTTCACGAAAGAATGCATGACGGTTAATGTCACGAAGAGGCTACACATCACAAGTGCAACTTCACTTCTACCTGCAAGTGTTCCAATTTTCCTTGTCCACCATGGAATACACAATGTACGAGAGCTTTAGGTGTTTCCTTCGTTCCTGACCATAATTAACTTGTCAGCTCTTTCTTTCCACAAACAAAGTCCTGTTACTTTATGTCTCTAAGGCAGATTGACATCCAACACTGTGTACAATACTCTAGTTTCTGAGTGGAAGTTGCTTCTCTCTCTGTAACCCTAGCAATACTGCACCGAGAAATATAGCCTAAGTTGAAGTCAGTTGCACATCATCCTAGGGAAGAAGGAAGAACTGAAGCTTTCAAAAGTTGGCTTCAGGTGCAGGAAACCCAAGGGACTGTTTGGACGATCAGATTTGATAGTAGGCAGCAGTCAGTGGGCATAAAGCTCTTATACCATGTTGTAAATGATAGTTGAGTAAAAGAGAGAGAATATTTTCTTTATATTCCTATATAGATGTTTCCAACATAAATAAACGAGGATTACATTCATGGAGAGTTAGCCATAAGTTCTACCATATTAAGAATGAAATAATTATGGGATTTACACAGTAATGTAAAAGATATCTGCAGTATAAAAGGAAACTAGAATATGCTGGAGATAATAATGGTAGCATTATGGTAGTTGTCATTATGTTAGAATCAACATTATGCTAGAAGGCAAGTTACTTAAATTGTTGAGTGGATTATTGAATAAAGAAGATTTCGAACAATACTCCATTTTTAGGCCTTTACAGTTTACTTTTCCTACAAATCTTCTATAACATCATAGATTTTTGAATCTTGTTTATGAAATTTT